TACTGTAGTTATCCGTTGACTATTCAATCAAAAACACTCCCGCGACTCCATTTGCTTGCTCTCCTGATCCTCTTGCCATATATGTAGAAAACGAAAGGCACTGGGATAAGCAGTGCCGCGAATCCACCAGTAATACTACTTGCGGGACCTACTCCAACGTTGTGATACAGCGGCGTCACCACCAATGGAAAAGCGCCCGCAAAGGCGCTTCGAAGAAAAGTGTTCGCTGCTACTGCGCTCGCTGCATACAACGTAAATGTGTCGACCAGGTAATTCAGGGCAGCTTGAAAGATCGTGAAGAATCCAGTTCCCAGCAACACCAGCCCAATGACGGGGGCAATCCAATGGTATTGAGGGTCCGCTGTCCAACCCAAGATGAACTGACCGGCGGAGAAGAGTACCGAGCCGAGCATCATCGGTGGCAGACGTGCTTCAGGAACGGCACGATTACCAGCTGCACGATAGACCTTGTTGTACAGAAGTTGGTTATAGGCGTTGATGCTGCAGCCGATGATTGCGCCAACCAAGATGCCCAGGAAAGGCAGCGTTGCGCTTACAGCTGGCCATCCCCTCATTTCGCCGAAAATTATAGGAATGCCTGAACGTGTCAGTACGTCTCACAGACAGTTCTTATAGCGATATCTCTTACCTCCCAGCATCATGTATAGAATGCCGTAGCAGAAGCTAGCGTAGAGCGCGACAAGGAAACAGATAGGAGTCATCAGGAGCTGTAATGGCCGAAGAAGAAACTTCTTAGACAACTCTTTGATGCTGACGTCCCACTCCTCGAACTTCGTGTGAAGGGCCCAGTTGCCGGTTTCATGCCGCAGGCGACGTGCTTTGTAGACGAGGAGTTTCGGTGGGTAGCATTCGTCGATGAAAATGATGTCAATGAATAGAATGGTAGCCTGAAGTATGCCAGTGAAGTATTCGGTCCAGCGCCAGCCCAGTGATGGATTGGCGACAAAAGCTGCTGAGACAATTGGCCCTAGACACGGCCCTCCGACGACCGCCATAGCGTAGCCTGCCATGGCTAATGCTCTCCATGCCGGACTATACAGATCACCCAACACACCGCCAGTATTCGTGACTGGTGCGCTAGCAAAGAAGGCACCGAAGAACCTTGTGATCATCAGTGTCTGGAAGTCCTTTGACACGGCACTACCGAAGCTAAAGCAGATTGCAATGAACATGGGCGTCAAAACTGCCAAACGTCTCCCGTAGACTTCTGAGAGGGGAGCCCAGAGAAGCGGTCCAAGTCCAAACCCAAATAGAAAGAGCGTAGTGCCCAACACTGCGACCTGGTTTCCTACGTCGAACTCGGCTGCTATCTGTCGTGTACCTGCAGAGTATGCAGAAGAAGCCCATGTCGCGCTCATAGTCGTGAGGCCATACATCATGGTCGTTGTGATCTTCTTCTTTGTGGGCCAGTTCATGGGGCGATAAGGATCGTCTTCGCCCTCAAAATCTACTAGCACATCTGCAGTGGTCTGCTGATGCGCCAGAGGATGGGAAAATGGCGCAACATTCGGTCGTGTACGTATTCGTGAAAGTGCGGTGTCGCGTCTAGATATTGTGCGGCTCAAAGGCTGATTCATACCACTCGCCGTGGCTGTCGCTCTTCTGTCTCTTGGTAGACTGCGTCTGCTGCGTGATCGCGAAATGCTTTCTTGAAGTTCTCTTCCAGATGGACGGTGGCCGTCATGATCGGCATCCTTCTCTTCCTCGTACTCCGACGACGAATCGGATGTTGACTCGCTCCGCTGTCTTGGTCTTGATCGCCTTCCACTCTCAAGATCTACGTCGGCGTTTGATGTCGAAGTGGGATTCGTGTCTGATGATCGTTCGTCTTTAGAATCCATGATTCCAGTAGTTCATATCTTGTCGCTTTTCTCAACGATTTATTCTGGGATGCTTGAATATAAACTACGATCCCTGTTCTTGGTGCAGCTCGAAGAAATGAGAAAGATTGTCGGAAACGTGGCAAGTGCCGGACGCCTTTATGATGCTAAAGCCGGCAGCAACAATAGAGCGAGGAATTGATAGAACATTAGTAACGCTAAGCAATGACAGATGCCACAAATTTCGACTACCGTTGGGTATCTCCGGTCAATATGACGTAGATTTTGCGTACTAATGAGCTGCGCTAACCTCGAACGGTATAGTACATTCATTGCTCGGCCTTCTCGAGGTGTTATTCCCAGACCTCAGTTCGGATAAATCTCCGGCTGACAGATTTTCAACAAGTATCGCTCGCGCGAAGACAATGTGTAACGGTCGAGGAAAATAGGACGCGTGCGCACAGCGAACGCCCCATTTTTGGGACGCGACAACAATGACGTAACGACTTGCAGCAAAGACGTGCAACGTCCTTCCGCCAGCTCTTCGTTAGTTCTATAGCACGTAAGAAACACAAAACCTGGAATTGAGACATTCTGGGTACATTGCTAACATTACTGGTATTACTCGACAAGTAGTTTTCATCTATACCTATCCAGGTGGGTCATTAAGTATTCTTACAAAGCCCCAGGGGTATTCTTGATGGCCTGAGCAGCAGCCTCGCAGTCCTCGCCTAGCGGAACAACAGCGCCATATCCGACAGCCTGCCCACAGCCAGTGAAGCCATAAACTCCCTGGTAGAATCCGGAACCATCTGGACTGGCCTTTTGCAAGGTAGCAGAGAATACATCGGCACCTGCTGAAGGACCAAGAGTTACGTTGCCCGAGCGGTAAGTTGGCTGTGCGGTGGCGTTGTTAAAGAAGTAGACGTTGCGTTGGCACTTGGGTGAAAGGAGGCTTCCCACGCTGCCGAGCAAGAAGGGCTGGTTGACCATGCTTTTCCACATGTCGAGGGAGTATTTGGGTGCTGCTTGGTTGGGTTCGCTGACGAACTTGAGATCGAACGCCTCAGAGTACAGGCCAGGACCGCTGACAGGGTTGGGTGCCTGTGCCCACTTCGAGTTGATACCGAAGGATCCATCCCGGTATGACTGGAATGGTGCATTGAGTGGTAGAAATGCGCCGATTCTGGTCTGAATACCGCCTACAGTAGCTAAAGGGTCGCGCGTTAGCTATAACCCACAGGCTGAACTGAGTTCGCGTCGATTACTTACCAACTAGAGATGGGACAAGGCCGGCAACATAACCCTGGGTTACTTCGTCCACGCCGGCAAGGTACGACACGAGGGGCGCATTGAGTGGTGTCTTGGAGCTACCGACGCCAACATAGGGGATCATAGAGCTGCCGACCATCAATCCTGTAGCAAGCTGGAGGCCGCCCTGGCGGATATCGGTGTTGGCCCCGGCGTTAACGATGACCGGGTGCATGCCCTCGGGAAATTTCAGCTCTTCGGGAAGAGATAGCAGATTTAGTCCGCCTAGGTTGACCAAGCTCGAGAACGACTCCTTGAGGGCCTTCATGACAGCATCCTTGGGCACCGGAACAAGGAACCAGTCTGCAGCATATGTCAGTACAAAAGTTCCTTACTGTTCAGAGAATTCACACTCACTGCTGGTCGCACTCATAGTGCGATCTTGCTGGTTGTAGATGGCAACCTCATTTGGGCACGTTGTGCTTTGGCCAGCGACGAGGCTCGCGGCAGCAAGCAGTATTTGGAAGAAGAAGCGTGCCATGGTGTAGCTGATGGTTTAGGTGGATGGTTGAGTAGAGAGCGGTCTTACGGTGGCATAGGCCCGTTATATACAAAGATGCGCTCTTGTTTTGGGATCGTCGTCATACCCAGGTAGGCTAACATGGTGCTTTGCATCACAATAATAACTCTATAGCTCTGTCAGCGCCTTGCTTCCGAACCTGACCGTAGCATCCGGAGCGATTGGGCGCTCTGGACATTGAGATCGACTGCTGGCATTCCCATGCTCATTCGGTGGGATGGACATCACGGCTCCTGTTCTCTGCGCTAGCCATCAATTAGGTTTCTGTTCGCCCCGTTTCGATTTTTAATGAATCCACTTGTAAATCAGGCTAGCTACAAGTAATCGCTCGGCACAAGAAGATCAACGATCGTCGGTACCAGCGCTTCCGGTCCGCTCCAATCCCTTCCAGAAGGACTCTTACATCGCGCGGCTATGAAGCTCCCGAATACCGGAACCTGTGTGATGTTGGCTACCTGACTCAACTCATCTATCTGAGCGTTTCGTTATACAACCGTACACAATGATGCTATTAAATGGGATGATACTTGTGTGATCACTCGAGACTTGACATTTTTGAATTTCAGATACCCCTATTACGATGTCACCACAAACCCATGCGGCCACTTTCAGGTATGCGTGAGAGCTTACTCAAATGAGTACACTCTAGCGCTTATGGTACGCTATGGGAGATGACGACGTGAAGCAACTTAGAGTTTTCCTATTCAGGAACAGGAAACTTGAAAGAACATAAAGTGATGCGCATGGCGCTAAGCTTTACCTTCCGATAAACGTCTTCCAACTGGTATCATGTGTTTTGATTTTGCACGGCTTCATGACGAACATGCGCAAACCGAATTATCAACTCATGACCCTCGAAGCTGACCGTGCTGATGTTTGCATGCTTTACCGGATCGGATTTTCCCCGAAGCGGTATTCAACTCTTCCAAGGTTGACCACCCTTTCACGATGATGACACGAAAAGACTTGGCAGGTAGCATTTCTGGTACCTGGGTAGATAGTCAGCGCGCTCACCACCTTGAATGCGATGTCTACGTAGACGGAGAGTTCGAAGGGACAGAATGCCATGATCGCTCGGTTAATGCAGCCCTCCCCACACGCGCCCAGGTGGCTTGCGGGACGTGTATGTATGCCAAGCCACTAGCACACGCCTCCAACGCGCGCGAACTTCCTTGAGGCGTGACGTTTGCGGTTCCTCAGCCTTGTCGCACCTTCTCATTCTCCCTTACCTATCATTCTTTTGGCTGCTTGTACAGGCGCACATATTCAGCAACTCTATGCGACTCTACTCCCGCTATTTTTATTACAATTGAGCCCAGCACCCGGCCATGACAGATTACAGCAAACAGACAGTCGCGCAACTGCGGCAGGTGTTGAAGGACCGGAGTATACCCAGCACCGGCTTGACACGAAAGGCGCAAATTATCGAGAAGCTCCAGGAGGCCGACCTCGCTGCTGAGACTCCCAGTGCGCCAGACGAGGGTACCGAAAGCGCAGACGCGCCGCCGGATGCGGTCGAGCAGGTGAATACCGAAGTTGGCGACGACACTGCCACCAAAGAGCATGTCCCTGGACCAGCGCTCTCCGAGGCTGGAGGTATGCGCACTATGAGTACATCGCTGCCGCTAGATGCTGACTCGAATCTAGAAGCCGAGCAGCAGCCTACACGCGAAGCCGAGCCAGAGCCTCTACCCGTACCCGCAGCGACTACCGATTCCCTCCCCGAGACAATTTCGCACATAGACAGCGATATTCCTCCACCAGACGAGATTAAAGCAATAGAGCGGCCTGCCGAGGACATAACCAATGCGGAGGAGCCCGGCTCAATACAACCGGCGGGAGTCTTCAATGCACCGCCCGCAGATGCCGACGATGTGGTTGGCCCAACCGTGACGGAGCCTACGGATGCGGAAGTTGGAGACGTAAAGAAGGTCGAAGTCGCAGAGGGCGAGCTGCCAGATGCTCCAGGACCGGCTGCTGAAGCTCTGCGGTTGGCGCAGCCAACGTCTGGACTCCCCGAAGATTTGCAAGACACGAGCATGGACGCGAAGACAGCTTCACCTGTGTCCAATGAGCAACAATCCGTTGAGAGGCCGGAATTCCTTACCGTTCCAGAGCCTTCGACGACGGAAACATCGAGGCTCAACACGGAAGAAGTAGAAACAGACTCGAAGAAGAGAAAGAGGAGGAGTGACACCCCCGAGATGGCGGACCAGGAAATCAAGGCAAAGAAGCACAGGCCCAGCCAGGAACCGGCGCCTGGCGTTCACCTGCAGGAAGACGAGGACACCGTCATGGAGCAAAGAAGATCGGAGGAAGAGACCGCACCTTTAGCAAATGGCAATCCAAGCGAAACAAACGACACTGGCTCTGTACCAGCCGGGGAGGATCCGCCAGTTGTGGAGACTGACACAAGACGCGAGAAAAAGGAAAAGGCCTCTCGGTACAAAGACCTCATGAAATCCAACGCAGACGACACGCCCCAGGAAGCCTTGACTGATGACAGGCCCACGGTACCCGCGCTCCACCCTGTGACATCTGCATTGTACATCCGCAATTTCATGCGCCCTCTGCGTCTGGAGCCACTACGAGCACACCTAATCTCTCTTGCCTCGCCGCCATCTACCTCACCGGACCCCACAATTGTGGAAACCCTTTTCCTGGACGTACTCAAGTCGCATGCGCTTGTACTCTTTAGCACTAAGACTGCTGCATCACGAGTGCGAGCATCTTTACACGGCTCCATCTGGCCACCAGAAGGTAACAGGAAAGAGCTCTGGGTCGACTTCGTCCCGGATGAGTACGTGAAGGATTGGATCAAAGAGGAAGAGGACGCTGCAGCTGCTGAGAAGGACGCTCGTGCAAACAAACGCTCACATAACCCCAAACGGTTTGAAGTCGTGTATCCAGAATCCAGTGATGGCTCTGTTGTAGCTGTATTCCAGGAAGTCGGTTCAGGTGCTCCTGCAAACGCACCACGAGGCCCACGCGCAAGCGCAGACGCGCGGATGCCGTCTATACAACAAGCACCAGCACCATCGCTCCCAACCGCCTCATCGAAAGATACCCGACAAAATACTGAAGCTTCATTCAAAACACTCCACGATCTGTTCTGCTCCACAGAAGCGAAACCCCAACTCTTCTATCTCCCCGTTTCGGATGATATTTCCGATCTGAGGCTGAAGGAACTGGACGCCGAGACAAGCAGAGACTGGGCACCTGGCCAGACGAGGAAGGGGCGGGGCATCAAGACAGAGATGAAGTACAAATACAGTTTTGACGACGATGACAGGGTTGTCGAAGTTGGTGAAGAGCGCCCTGACTACAGAGGTGGCAGAGGCGGTAGTGGCTACAGAGGGCGAGGGAGGGGTGGATATAGAGGGAGAGGGGCAGACATTTGGAGAGGATGATTTACCCGAAGGGATGCAATCTTTGTGTAAGAAATATCGAAAGTCGAAGAACCGGGCCAGGTGCTCTACAACAAATGTTCTTGGCCAAATCCTCCTTCCCTATGTCAGGCCGCTGCTCGAAATTGCAGCAGGCAAGAACGACGGCTACGGTTTGCTGTAGCTTCTTCATTGCAATGCTCCTCCTGCATCGACCTTGTTGTGCACGGTAGGGTGGCTCCCTACGTAGTCGCATACTGATTTCCTCACTGAATTCGCACAACTGACGACAATGGCCGCCCGGTGTCCAGGCGATCAGCTCACGAGCGACCTCATCGCCGAACAGGCTTTGCCCTTTGGCCATAAAGATATCACCTTCCACCTGCTGACTCTAAATGTCTGCTGCACTCTGGCGTCATTGGCGATTGGGGTTTCCGTCTTCCACATCAAGCAACACGCACTGCACTACCGACACCCACACGAACAAAAACATATTATACGTATCCTCTTCGTCATTCCGGTCTACGCGTGGACCACATTGCTCTCTTATGTGTTCTACAGAAGGGCTGTCTACTGCGAGCTTGTCCGCGAATGCTACTCCGCTTATGCTGTCGCGAGCTTTTTCACGCTTATGTGTCATTATATTGCACCCGACCTCCATGAGCAGAAAGAGTACTTTCGCCACGTCGAACCGAAGAATTGGGGTTGGCCGTTGAATTGGTTCCAGAAGCTGACCGGCGGCGAGCACAAAGGGTTGCTGAGGAGGCCGAGGAGCGGCATTACCTGGTTCAATGTAAGTGATGGCCTAGCCTGTATTCTTTGAGAGGGTACTGATCATCCGCAGATCAACTACATCGGGATATTTCAATACGTCGTTCTTCGTACCATCGTAACAACCGTAGCCGTCATCACGTCATCCCTCGGTCAATTCTGCAAAGGAAGTCATAACGTACGCTACGCTTCGCTATGGACTGCCATCTTTGATGCACTCTCTGTTCTTGTTGCGATGTATTGCCTACATCAGATCTACGGGCAGCTCAAAGAAGATCTCGCACCCAACAGGCCCGTCTTCAAGATGGTTTGCGTCAAGCTTATCGTCTTCTTTACTTATTGGCAAACATGGCTCATCTCGCTGCTCATTCAATACAGAGCACTGCGACCTACGCGCTTCATTGCTGAACTGGATCTTCATGTCGGAATTACCTGTCTGCTTACATGCACGGAGACTTTGGTCTTTGCTGTCCTGCATTACTGGGCGTTCCCATGGAGGCCCTACAAGATCGATCGGCTTCCGAAGTTCCCTGAACAAAGATACGAGTGTGGACCCAATGAAGCTTTGGTGGAGGTACTGAATCCTTGGGATTATTGCTGCGCCGCTGCTCGCGGCTTCCGTTGGCTATTCCATGGCATTCACTTTCGGAACGAGAGCGTAGCCTACAAGTCCGATTGCAAAACTCATGGTCCCAGGACTCGAGGCGGCACGCAGTCAGAGCCACTACACGACGGATCGAAGAATAGTTGGAGGTGCAAAGAGAAGGGTCGCAAAACAGCTTGATAGACTCGTGGACTGCGTACATGACCTTGAAAAGAAACAACCAGAAGGCGTCCAGGAAAGATTGACAGGCTACACCAAGTATGAAGAATTAAGAATGGTCCAACTTGTATCTAGACAGCAATACAAAACAGGAATACTGAGAGAATTTCCTTCTTATCACAGCCCTTTGCAACGATGTGAAGCTTTGGAATTATAAAGGCATTAGGTCGCCGACGGGCGGCTTAGCGCTTACATAACACCAATGAAGCTCGGGACGATCTTCACCAGCACCACAGCTACGGCTCTCGTCCCTCAGACTTCGCAATCCCGTAAATCCCCAATGTGTCCAGGTTCCCCACAGCAAATCCTTCTGGTGCCCGTGAGACAGTTAGCGTCGCTGCTAACGTCTGCACGCGACTGCGGCTAGCTTCCGCGTGTCTGGTATTTGAGTCGGCCTGCCCGCATCGAGCGCGTTCCGTTCCTCGATGCGATCGCTTCGCACGCTCGCTCGCCCTCAGCCTGAGCACAGCACAACATGCCGTCTAAATCACGTGGACTGAGGACCTCGACAGGGTGGTAAGTTCACGCAGATCAAGCACGCATTGATTACTGTGAAAGCAGAAGCTCGAACCTCTCTATGCACAGCATCGTAAGCGCAATGCTAACAAGTGGACAGCTTGACATGCCGCAAGCGCAAGGTCAAGTGCGATGAAAGCCATCCAAGTTGCAAAAACTGCGAGAGAGTCCAACGAGAATGTGTATATGCTGAGAGGACCCCAACACCCCGACGCCCGCGAGCACTAAGTGCGCGTGATGTCGACGTGACCGCAGCTATTGGGAACTCAGCGCCATCAAACAATGAGACCGAGCCTGGGTCTGTAAGCATTCCAACGCTAGGTTCAGAGCCTGTGGAGCCGTTACACTCGTGGCCCTCATTCCCCGCAGAACCGCCGGGGATCACTGAAAGTATACTACCAAACGATGATTTCTTCCTTGACGACAGTCTTTTCACCTTCGGGGAAAGCTTGGCGCCTAATTTTGGACCTGTCGAATGGTAACATCGACCCGCTTGTTGATATTAACATTGGCTAAGATCTGATAGGTATGATCTACTGGCGGAAGACGCGATCAACAGTATGCAAGGGCAAACGAATAGCAATCGCTGGAATTTTGATATTGCAAGTTTATCAAGAAGACAGTCCCCTCGGCAATCCGTCGCTCTAGCCGGCGATGATGACCCTTTTGGTAGCGTCAACGTTCACACAGTCGCAATAGCCGAGCAACCATGGAATACGGAAGCAAGGATTGAGTTGAAGCGGCAAGAGCTGACGTATTTTGAACATTATGTCAGTGATGTAGCACCGATCTTGGATCTTTTCGACCCTGCGAAACACTTTGCGAACGTTGTTCCCCACCTCGCCTTGCATAACGTAGGTCTGCTCAAGTCCTTGTTGGCAGTCGGTGCTTGTCATATGGCCCTATCCCAGGATCAGGATGTCGGCAATGAGGCTGCTTCTCAGGTTCAACCCGGTACGCCTGCTTCGTCTTCTAGCGCATCGTCCACTCCACGAAGGGCTGCCGAACAACTGTACTATGAGACACTGCAGTATCTATCGCAGAATATATGGCATCAGTCATATACCAATTCACGCGAAATATTGGTCACTGCTACAATGATCTCGACATATGGTAAGCAATGTCTCTATGCGAACAACGTGTGCGAAAGGTACTAATCACATGTACCCACTCGTAGAAATGTTTGGTACGGCCGGTAATCCCGATCACAGCAATTGGGATCGGCATCTGAGGGGAGCTTTTTGGATACAAAAGAACGCAGGCGCAAGCGGCGAGTCTCCCGATAGTCTGCAACGTGCAGTTTGGTGGGCTTGGCTGCGGCAAGACATCTGGGCAGCTTTCCGTACTGGACGACCAGCACTGACAATACATCAGCCCAAGGTACCGATGGTGGAACTCACGTCGGAAGGACTGGCGACACGCATCATATATATCGCCGCAAAATGTGTCCAGTTCGCTGCAGCGCCGAAGCAAGGAGACATAGCTGGCTACATTGAAGCAGGAGAAACACTACTACGGATGCTAGATGCATGGAAAAGTCTCCTTCCATCAAGCTTCGAGCCCATACCTGTGGAGACTGGACCCACCGCATCTTCTCCAAGCTCGACCCTTGATGCAAAGCCGATGCCGATATGGATACACCCTCCCGCACATGCTGCTGCTATTCAAACCTACCACTTTGCGCGAATAATCATGATTCTCAATCAGCCAACGACCGGAGGTCTCAACACGTATCAAACTCGCTTCAAGCTCCTTCGCGAAAGCACGTCGACAATATGTGGGATTGCTTTGGCGCAGCAATCGCAAAACTCCCCTTCGGCTTTTGTCAGCTTCCAGGCTATCTATGCAGGTATTTATACCAGCTCTTCGTATATGTACAGATTACTGACTTGGCATCAGCGGCACTATGTATGGAGACACCAGATCGACAAGCGGAGATACTGGAGATTCTCAGATCCGTCTTGAGCATAAGCAAGTTTCCGTCGGTCTCGATACTAGATGAATTGGTCAATGTCTGGGGTGGGAAGTCACATTGATGATACTAGTTGGATGTCTTCACAATGCTACACGATTATCCATGCAATCGTCCTAGGGCTTTTCGCTAGACGACATATCCCATGTTGTACCAGAGAGGCACAGCTACAACTAGAGCAGCACATATGCGGAACCCTTGTCGCGCTTCGGACGCCACTCTGATGTTCGGAACATGACGCACAAGTCTGGGGCGTTGCCGACGAAGCTATATGGAGAATCGGCAGACCTGGTGGTCTCGCATCGAGCGCCAATCGGGTTTGGCTCTGGCCTGCATCGACTACGCTAGCGCATCGTACTGCCTTTTCGGGCCGTTTTGGTGCACCTTACGCAGAAAGGCCCAAATCGAGTACTAGACCGCATCACATCAAACCGGTAGGATCACTTGCTGTGGTCGTATTGCGATTTTCCCAAGTCAAGGGCCGCAAGCCTCGTAATACCACTAGGGTTGACGCAGCAAACCGATGAGAACGCTACATCAGCATTCCCGTCTCCATGTCGCTTTGGCAAGAGCTTGCCGAGCATGATAGCAATAAATCGTTCGAAACGCTGGCCTTATTCCATCACCTCGATGTTTGAGAAACAGGTCAAGCAATGCCGATATGATGGAATTGGGTTCATGGGTCTTCACTATCGGACCTCAACACTGCATCGGGGTTGCCCCTGACTTTTCAGTGACTGAGAAGTACTCCAATTTCAAGCTTTGATCAGTAGCTTTCTGTAATTGGTATCCTTTCGCATAGTGACAGCAATACTTGTCATCGATAGCGCACTCTTAACCCATTTCCGTCGAAGCTCTCGCTTCACAATTTCTCACATTTCGCTAAGCGCTAATACATACGATGGATCAGATTTCTGGACGAATCCCGGATGACAACAACTCTCCGAAATGCTGTCACATCTTTCCGGAGCAACCAGCCATGGTGACACGCACTCAACATATTCGTATTTCCTCACGTACAACAAGCACTATAGGCTAAAGACTGACGTATCAGTTTACGGATAGGGAAACAGTTACCTTATTGACGTCCCTTCATTCGCTGTGTTTCATGTTGCTGACGGACACGGCCGGTGCTGTACAGCGTCAGCACCTTAACAAGCGGCTGCATACCCTCCCTTTCCAGGTTTCCCCACACGGCTCCGTTTAACCTTATATTGACGGAACAACCTCATATGAACGCGATTAACTCTGCATATGCGCGATCAAAGGACATCGGCCTTGTACACCCCGGATATCCGCTCAGCGCAGCATGCAGCCGCGAACAGGGAGCAGTCAATTACACTTTGGGCGACTGCCGCCTGACTTCATCTCCCCTCACTCATACTCTTCCAGCCTTCATAAACGTCGAGCAACATCACCAGACTTCGCCTCGATATTGCGATCGCTATACTGGCATCGCATACCGTTGATTCTGCTTCCATAGCAATCTAAAATCATTCCCATGACGATGTGGGGTTACGTGCCAATTGGACCTGCGGGTGATTACTGAAGTTGTTCTTTGTATGCCGTGATGATAGCTTTACCCAGAGTACACGTCCTTATGCAGACGCGAAAGATTACACTGACACATATAAAGTCTACATGAAGGACTCGAGAGAACGAGCATCTGCTCACGAAACAACAGATTCAATCTCAACTAATCATCTATCTGAGCTCTGCTTACCATCCACGATGAGGTATACAACCACTGCCGCCACTCTTCTTAGCCTCGCGACCACCTTCGCGCACCCCTCGCCTTCCGCCGACCCCCTTCGTATCCTCCCACCGAACTGGTCGTTCACCATCTCCTCCATCCGCGGCCCAGGCTGTCCAGACTCCGGCAAAAACGGCACAGTCTCGCGCACCACGCGCCCAACCTTTGGCTCCAACACTGTCGATGGCAGCGAGATCTACTACTGGTACATCGCCTACCCATGGATGCGTGTCGATCTCGAGGCCGGCCCCCGCCATACATGGTGTGAGACGACGCTGGCATACAAGGAGTACAAGGATTTCGATAAGGCTGCTGAGGCAGAAGACTATAAGCTGAGGCTGCACAAGAACGGTACAAAGGGCATCATGACGTACCAGCTTGACGAGGGAGTGCAAGTCTACTGGGACTTTGCTTACTATGTGGGTGAAGGGGTTGGAAGAACGGAGGCACGTTGTTCATGATACTGAACCCTCCAATAGTCAGACCATGTACTGACTCTTCCAATAGGTCGCCGATACCATTGACCTGATTGGTCCTGCTTCATCTGGCCCGTATGCTCAAGAACACTACTCCAACATCAGTTACCCACCTGAGCTTATTCCTCAGCCTAATTGCGGAAGTGGTACGTTCACTTTCCGCACGGAGATGTGGGTACAAGGCAAGGAAGGTCAGAAGGGTGTTGTAGACAGTGAGCATTCCTACAGTGAGGCGCTTGGTGACCAGTACTATGGCGCGCAGCAGGGGTTCAGTTATGATTGGGAGAAGTGCACATAAGGGTTACAGGACGAGAGCTATGCTTGGAGATGAGAGGGGCAAGATTTACAATGGCCGCAGGGGAAAAGTTATTCGCGTTATGTAAGATCGATGTGTCCAAAGAATTTCAGTCTTGTTTTCAGCATCCTTCCTGTTTTCAAACATGCTGGTGTGGTGTTCACTCTCACAGTGAGTTTTCATCGTTGACCAGCGATCTCGGCGTAGCATCCATCATGATTACTTTGCATGATGCTATCGGGAATATCATGAGTTACACGCGTTCAGTATCAACGCTAGAATACATTGGTCGTACATATCAATCATCGCTCTGCCAACATGTTCTTGATCTGCCGCCAGTAGCTGCCGTCTACCTCCTTCTGCAATTCGTCCTTGGCTAGCCACTTGAAGTCTTGAAGACCAAGCTTGTTTTCCTTGAGGTTGACCTGGCCGGCCATGATGCGCGCCTTCAGGAAGAAGGTCTTGGAGCCGTACTCCTTGAGGTCGCCCGTGGGCTTGGGTTCGCGGTAGTCCACCTGGTGATGGCCAACTGGCACGTGGCCGACCAGCCAGGTGTTCATGTTGATGCCACCGGTGTGTGTGATGATACGACTCGCTGCCTGGTAGTTGTTAGCATCTCAGTAGATATCTGTAGGATGTGGTATTGCGTACACCGTGCAGATTCTCCTCCTTCAAGCGATCCTGTGGGAACTGCCATTGCCCCTCCTTATTCTTAACAAGCAGATATAGCGTTCTCTGAAGCGCGCGATTCAAGCTCTTTGTGTCGTTCTTCTGATCCGCTTCTGTTATCCTCGGCATTGGCTTCTCTACGGGCTCGCGCTCCATCTTCTTTGCGCCAGTGGTGTCCGATGCGTCCTCCAGGCCAGATTGCTCAGCGTCTTCGATAAGCTTGCCAACCTGGTGTTCAAAGTCGCTCTCTTGTGCTCCTACGAGGAGCTCGTCATTCCATGCTTCGTCTCCGTAGCCTTGGTATCGTCCGATGTCGCGGGCGGGGGTCAGCCGTTGCTTCATTTTCCGTTTCCATTCTAGGTCTGCAGGTGTTCGCTTCTTTACGTAGAAGTATCTTGTGAAGGGTAGCGCAAGTCGTTCGTTCAATCGTCGTTGGTATAGGAAAAAGGCAGCTTCGAAAGGGTGGAGGTCGCGTGTTATTTGCGGGGGGCGGGACAGGACGACACCTGCGTTGACGGCGTAGGATGTTGACGGCGATACCTGGGCAACGGGAGGAATGTGTTGGGCGACTTGGTCCTCGGTTTGGACGGCGGCGGCGGCAGCGGATGCATATGTGCGGGCGACGGTGTCTCTACATGAGCGACATATTGATTGACCTTCGTTCGTCAGCGCTCCAGTTGCCTCTAGCCCCAATTGCATTCCATACCGGCTCGTGAGGCCAATCGCCTCGTTGTCTGCTGTCCGGCGTTCATTTCTCCCAGTGCCCTCCGCGGTATCTCGATGCAGCCGCTGCCCTCTCGAGATCTCAGAAAAGTTCGGGGAGCGGAGGTGCATTGGGTCTAGCGGCATTACCTAAGCAGATATTCCGAGTTAACTTTTCTTCGGCGCGAACACCATCTCTTCTTCTCTACGGCACCTATCCTTATCCCCAGCATACTCGCATTGTCATGAGATCCTGGTCATTTAACGGTGCCTAGAGGGAGTCGAGCAGTCTTTTTCGCTAGCGGTACCTTCACAAATCCTAAGGTGTACGGCTAGATAGATTTTGCTCACATTCTTACGCGCTCAAGGACCTTATACGCTTGCATGCTTATCTATGTGACGATGTTATGTTTAAAACGGCACAGCAGTCAGCTTATCCGCTGGCTCATGCGTTGCATGCGTCTATGTATGCTTTCAAGCAGAGCGGTCTTAGGTGTACCGTAACTATCGCCAGAATAACGTTGGCGGCTGATAACTTCACGCGCCTTTGCCCCCGTTCCAACCCCCGAGAGGGCGCACGATTAAAGACCCAAGTGACGTAGTGTAGCTGTACACATCATCTCAATATATCACATCTGATACCTTACTCCCGGGACAGTTGAAGGTGCATTATCGGTGTTTCCTTCCCCCGATCTCCAAGTCTTGGCATCGAAATTTGGGACTGGACGCGTTCTCGCCGCGCAGAGCTTAGACGCAGGCACACCACCACAACCCTGATACCCCTCACACGCCGCCAACATGTCTCTCACGATACCCAACGCTCCTAATGCCGGCTTGTTCAAGCAAGGTTACCAGAAGTATGGCCCTGTGCAACCCCGCAATCACAGTAAACAACCAGCTAACCACCCCGCAACAGCTACGACGCCGAAGATGGCGCTGTTATTCGCAACATCGACGCCTGCCGGACGATTGCCCAGACCGTTCAGACCTCTCTCGGGCCCTATGGACGCAACAAGATTGTCATAAACCACCTTCAGAAAATGATCCTCACCTCGGACGCGGCGACGATACTGCGAGAACTCGAGGTTGTACACCCTGCGGCGAAGCTTCTCGTCATGGCCAGCCAGCAACAAGAGGCAGAGATGGGTGATGCGACAAATCTGGTCATCGTCCTGGCCGGCGAGCTGCTGAAGAAGGCGGAGGAGTTAATACGGATGGGCCTGAAGACAAGTGACATTGTCTTGGGTTACGAGAAGGCACAGCTTGCGGCTCTGCAGACACTGGAGGGTATGTTACGCACGTGAAGTGGCAGCTGAACGGGGGCTAATCTATCGCAGAGCTGGTATGCGACAAAGTCGAAGACATCCGCTCGCAGCAAGAACTCAGCAAAGCTATCCGCACCGTAGTCGCAGCCAAGCAGTCGGGTAGCGAAGACTTCCTCGCTGACCTTGTCGCCGAAGCCGTCCTCGCCGTCCTCCCCAAGAACCCCGTCAACTTCAATGTCGACAACGTCCGCGTAGTAAAGATCATGGGTGGTGCCCTGGAGCAGAGCAAGGTCGTCAAGGGCATGGTCTTCGCAAGACAGCCAGACGGTACCGTCACAAAGGCGACAAAGGCCAAGGTCGGAGTCTTCTCATGTCCTATCGACATTTCCCAGACTGAGACCAAGGGCACGGTACTATTGCACAACGCAAAGGAGATGATGGACTTCACAAAGGGCGAGGAGCAGCAGGTGGAGCAGGTCATCAAGGAGCTCCACGACTCCGGTATGAGGGTCGTCGTTGCTGGCTCGACCATCGGAGAGCTGGCCCTCCACTACCTCAACCGCTACAACATCCTCGTCATCAAGGTTCTCTCCAAATTCGAGCTTCGACGATTATGCAGGGTAGTCGGTGCTACGCCGCTCGCTCGTCTCGGTGCACCTATGCCAGATGAGATGGGTACTATCGACGTCGTTGAGACACTGGAAATTGGCGGTGACCGCGTCACAGTATTCAGACAGGAGAATGAGCAGACAAGGACCGCGACTCTGGTTCTACGCGGCGCTACTCAGAACCACCTCGACGACGTTGAGCGGGCGATTGACGACGGTGTCAACGTGGTCAAGGCCATCACCCGTGATCCTCGACTGGTCCCAGGTGCTGGAGCAACAGAGATGCAGCTTGTTGAGAAGATCAAGGCCATTGCGGACAAGACATCCGGTCTGGCGCAATACTCTATCCGCAAGTACGCTGAAGCTTTCGAGGTCATTCCACGAACTCTCGCAGAGTCAGCCGGTCTGGACGCAACTGAGGTTCTCGCCAAGCTGTACGTCGCACACGCTGCACAGAAAGGCAGGAAAGACGACGAGTGGACTGTCGGTGTCGATATTGAGAACGACGACAACACCGGTACACTCGATGCCAAGGAAGAGGGCATTCTCGATCTCTGGGTCAGCAAGATGTGGGCCATTAAGCTCGCTACCGAGGCTGCGAGGACGGTTCTCAGTGTCGACCAGATCATTGTCGCAAGGCAAGCTGGTGGACCCAAGATGCCTGGAAAGGCGCAGCCGGGCAACTGGGACCAAGATGATTAAACTCCGTTGCCGGTATGAGGGGTAGTGTATAATGACATCGACTAGACGCTATTGAAGCACCAGAAGAATGATATCTTCGTTCTACCTCACCGGGTTTCGGCTGTTCACGTGTCACGTATATCATGGTATGGAAGTACCGAATGCTTCTGAGCGAACCCGACCAACTATGGAGCTGATGTGATCATTTGTCCGGCTTCTCGGGCACTCGTGGGGTTGTCCTTAACATGATGTCTCTTCGACCCAAGCTACCAAAACCCAGAGCTCGTACCAGGATGTTGGTCCGTTGGCTTTCATTGGATTACGAACATGAGGTTTGTTTTTCTTCTTCAGCTCAGTTCTGAGCTCACATACGGTCCTTGTGTGGTCTTACTTTGATCCTGGTCTAGCTGGAAACTTGCAGTAGCAGTCCAATCAATCCTCGCCGCGGAAGCGGCCTTATCTACCCCTCGTTGATTCTGAACGCAATCCTTCAGCCAAGAGCATGCAGAGTTTATCGATTATTGCTCTAGCATTACAGCTATGTCAACCCTTACTGCAGACTTGCCCAGGGCCTGGTTGGCATGAACAGCAGACGTTGCTACCCGAGATGCATGATGCATCGGCACCCAGCTCCCACTCCCGCTGCTTCCATAGATCACGCGGTCCGTGTTTCGCGCTTGGCCCGACAGAGGCATGATCCGCGACAATGATGCAGCAGGATGCTGGGTGAACGCGACAGATCGCTTTCCTTTTTGTTCTTCCAGTATTCTTCTATAAGCATAATTTCCACGGAAGTGCCGAATCGCTTGGCGTCTGGCGAAGTATAAAAAGCCGCCCCTTTCGCCCCGGTCTATCTGTACGCCACATTCCTCGTGTTTTCCAACATATCGCTCTTCGCTCGATCAACGTACACGCGTCAATACCGAACACATCTACTGAGCACTTTGCTCAATGCGCAGGTCGTAAACTGTGGTATGGTCTTCAAATCTAGTTAGCCCTTTTTGACTAACTGTTCGATAGTCGAGAACATCATCAACGCTGTCCTGCCGAGCATCAATATCCCATTCATCGCCCTAAAGTATCTGGCTGTGAGTTCCCTACCTACACCCATCCCTATCACCACATATACACACATCCACATATCCCCATCTTCACGTCTCCACATCTCCCCAAAGCCGGTCTGAAACAAACCCTACGCCTCACGGTGCAGGTCCTTTGGTGTTAAAGTTATTTGTGTCACTTATTGTTACTCCATTGGAACGACTATAATTTCAAAATTATCTAGACTTGGACATCATTCCGCTTGAACCTCTATTGAGGATCGCGATGAGAACGGCATATTTGCCGATCTGTCAGTCTGGGACGTTCAGCAGCCACTACGATGGGTCCAGTCGTCTCTGTGTTCATCGATCTGCATGCATAATGCATTGATTGGGACTTGAGATGAGAGGTACTCATCGTGTCTTCTGCTGAACTCGTCGTTCACTCAATGTTATTTGATCTTTCAAAGATCTCTTAATGACCTCGTCGATACATCGTTATCACGTTGTCGCCACATCAATGTTACATATCATTTGATAGTATTCTTTTGAATATTATCATCTGCTCGTCACGAGGTGGTAGTATCTCGCTCGTTGACCGGCAGCGAGACACTATCATCTCTGGCAAACAAAGTCAGCACTCTTGAACGCCTTCAAGCGTATAGAGAAACCGACTGACCGATATAGATTGCCTGGTATGCAATCTCCAATCTCTTCTATGCGCTTAAAGCTAACTTTCTACAGAAGCTCCCTCTTACGCACCTACAGAAATCACCATGCGATATTCCCCTCCGCAGCAAAATGCGGACCTTGGTCCTAAGGGTTCAATCAGACTTCCGGCGACTAGAAGGAAGGCAATGAATTCGGTCACCCCCATTCGCAACGCCAGTGGGGTTCAGAAGGGTTGGAAAAGGTCCGCTTCAGCCAGGACCCACCCCAGGTTCCCGGTGGATGGTGCTCTCGATAAATTCAACTTCTCCATGCAAGAGGACGATGGCGCTAGCGACCATGGCGAGGTAGGTATAGAGGGAGAGATCCGTGTGAGCTGCCCATTTCACAAGCATGATCCGAAGGCGCACCAGTTATCATCGTGCAAAGGGAAGGGGTATCTTGAGCTTGCCAAGTTGAAGTATGTCTGCGTTCAAAATCAGAACTCTTCACCGGCTTGGGTTCTAACACACAGCAGAGATCATTTGAAACAAGTACACGGGTTATCGCTGGAACGCCTCGATGCCGATTTCAACTTTAAGAAAAGAGAATACCGTAATCTCAGGACACTAGAGGAGAAGTGGAGATTGGTTTACCGCCGCTTATTTCCCGAAGAGGCCGAAGATTCCATACCTTTGCCTTACGCCAACGAAGATCGTGACCAGTATGATGGACTACTCTCCGAGCTTGTGAGCGTTGCGGGTCGCCGAACAATGGGAGAGAAAGCCTTTCGAGACGGGGTCCTCGATTTTGCGCGCAGGTTCGTACAGGAACGTCACTCTGCAAGATCGAAATCAGTCGATTCGGCAGTGGATTTCATGACGAACCCTCCAACGAGCGCGACCATACACACACCCCTATCACCGCCCGTGTCCCACGAGTATTCCTTCCGAACGACCACGGATGACGAGGGCTACTGCGGTCAAAGCCCTAGGCTTGCCAACAAAACCAGCACAAATCTCGATGCGTACGCACCAGCGGCTGCAGACCCCTGGTCATTCGAACAAGTCTTCAACGCGGACCCATATTCAACCAACAACAACCAGGAATGGAACATCAGATCACAGCCTTTGTCGGCTATTTCTACAGATGGAGTCACGCCGCTGGAGGACGTTGCGCGCTCTAGTTTACCGCCCGCCCCGAGACCTCAGCCACACGCTGGTAGCGCTTATCACGGGTACGCTTCATCGAATGTGAATGTCAGTTCGTCTCCGACGTATGACTATTCTCTCAGCGGCCATGACTCCACTTTTTACCCTCGTCTTGAAACAAGGAACCCTGCTCAACGGACTTCATACCTTTCAGATCCCATATTCAACTCGGGATCAAGTTTGGATGAAACTTCGGAATCGCTATCCGCAGTCCACCCCAGCTTGAAAGGGCACAGTCACGCACAACCATCCCTGTCGCTTCCAAGTTCATGTCTTAATAACGCGAACGATCGTCTCGATATGGAGGATTTGGAACACAAATATGATCCCAGCATCGACGAAGGTATCTTTTTCGATTTGGAGGCACTGCATTCCGCATGATTCTGATGCTTGTGGAATCATTTGCACAGTCAACATGTTTATCGGCGTTGGTGCGTGGACAGGCGCATGGAGGGTTTATATCGTATCTATCTTATTACAGGAGTCGAAAGGGGCGTCCTGAATGGCGAACATGACAAGCAATTTGCTTCCGGTACCTGCAAACAGCGATATGCGTGATGTTTGTTGATCTCTGCTTGTGTTTGATGGGCCCTAATGACTGGTTGTTCGAAAGCACCTTACCACACAAAAGAAACGGAACAACGATTGCCTAAGACGTGGGACACCGGTGGTACCTTCTTCACGTCGCTTGCAGTGGGCCATTGTTTTCATGCCGTTGCAATGGCCATGTAGGGAGGAAAGTGGCGCGCCACCACCGCGACTGCTCATGTCGCTAGCGTGGACCGATTGCACCCAGCCTTCGGTACCAACTCATTCCATACTCTTCTACGGATCAACGACGGATACTGATATCATGGCGTCCAAGCAGTGACTTTGGGTCGTCAGCCATGAAGGCCGATCTTGAATCGGTTGCTGGTTCGCTCAAGACCTACTATAGAGTGGACATCAACAACACACTCCACTCTAGCGTGCGTGGACGCTTGCCCACGAGCCATATCGCCGGCTTTTACCTACCGGAACATGCGCTTGCAGCCTTGAAGCATCTCAGCGGCAACGCAGAATTGGACGCGCATTTGATGTATACTGTGTACTTCACTACACTCAAAGAGCTCTCCGACGCTGTCATCGTTAATGTGGAAGACACCAACTGCATGTTGCAAGTCGCAGAAGCGAGCGCAGTCTGGGGGAAGCCTCGAGAGGACATGGTCACATTGCGCTTATCGGGAACAAATCAAAACGAGGTTGTCGACATGAAGAGGATACTGGAGGCCAAGCTTTCAGGAAGAATAGCGATCACGGGACTAGATGGCCATGCTGCGCGATACGAGATCTGGCACGACTTCTTCGCAACTGCATCTGGAGCTGGGTGGCTACAAGACCTGGCACGAGAAAACGGTGTGACAATCATAAGTGATAAGTTCCAACAGCGTCTGCGTGTTTATGATCCTGAACAGGATGATGCACGAATGGGGCTTGTTGAGCACACCCTTGCAGAGAAAGCCATCATGCAGAGCACATTGGAAGAAACGACCACTATCAAATTAACTTTGAAAAACTTCCAAGAGCTTCTTACGTCGGACAAGGTTGCCCGTGCTCGGGTCAAGTTGGGTGAGACAAAAGTCAGCCTTGATGTGCTAAAGAAAGCACTGGTCCTTCATTGCACTCAGCAGACCGCCTGGCTGGTTATATCTGAGCTAAATTTACCACTACCACACCACACATGTCCCCTCTGCGACGATGCGACAAACGACGTTAAGCTCTCCAACTGCGGCCACTATGCCTGCAAGGAATGCTTCGATCTTCAACTGGAGGTAGCTTCATCCGATCTAAGCAAGGATCACTTTCCGCTAGTATGTTGGCACGACGACTGCAAACAACCAATAGCCATCGCAGACCTACATAAACACCCTACCGGCACGATGATCGATGCGTTGCTCAAGGCATCGTTAAATTATTATATCCGATCCTCTCCAGCTATCTATCGCAACTGTCGAGCGCCTGACTGCAAAGCAGTGTATCGGCGCGGCGGATCTCATGGGATCTTCACATGCCGTACATGTCTGACCCAGACGTGTACTCTATGCCATGCAGAGCCCCATGTCGGCTGGACTTGCGCACAGTATGAATCGCGTGTCCTCAAGAATGAGCGTAACGAGCAGCTTCTGGACGAGTACAAAGCGGCCGCTGGTACAAAAGAATGCCTAAAATGCGCCACACTTATCGAAAAAGTCGACGGATGCAACCACGTCGAGTGCAACGGTTGTCACGGACACATATGCTGGGTGTGTCTCAAGGTCTTCTCAGAAGTGGAGGTAGTGTACCAGCACATGAACGACGCGCATGGAGGAAATGGGCTGATGGAAGGATCGGATGACGAAATCAGCGAGTCGGGGAGTGATGAATGGGAGGATGAAGACGATTTCGTGGACTTGATTTGAGCGCATGCTCTGATCGAGGAACCTCTTGTGTGCCTTGTGGCTGGGATCTGGAGGTGTTCACGGTCCATTGGGGAGTAGGTGTAATATCGCATTCTTCATTCAATGTGACTAAGTTTCATAGGCGCGAAACAAATAAAGCTTGTGGGTGGAAAAGACAGTAGTGATTGATAAATCCTTGGATCAGCAAGCGGAAATGCAGCGTCCTTAAGCATCAGAGCCAATGAGAGCTGCCGATGCCTTGGCGATGTGCTTACGAACTGTCGGTCTCACGGATCTGTGGGCATCCGACCGGCGACTGCCCTTCCCTCATTACAAACCTCGCCTGTGTGCTATCGCGACGCGTTAACGGCCGACACAGCGAGGAAGTGTCTGTAGGGCCTTACGTTGATGTGACTGGGGTTCATTGCTTGATTACAAGTTTCCCGAAAAATTGGTCCGTCGTTCAGGTGATGACAGGCGCTCGGTGCATACGCGGTTGAAGAGGTGAGTATATGTAGAGCAAGACATCTTCGGCTTTCAGATCATTCAACACATTGCATCTCAACATCCCATTTCCAAACATATTGAACATATCACACATCATCTTTTATCCTTACTTCTAGGTTACTTTCTGGCTTCCTGCACGACCAATCACACGATGTCAGAACAACGCAACATTGTCATTGTTGGCGCATCGGGCGCGGGCATACAGGCAACCCATTACATCCTGAAGCACATTCTACCAGCTCTCAAGGCAAAGAATGACGCCAAGTATCATGTCTACAACATCTCGCCATCTTCACAGTGGTACTTCAGGGTTGCCTCTCCACGAGTGGCAGCTTCTACCGAGCGCATGTCGACCGACAAGGTCCTCTTCGATCTGCATGAGGGCTTCAAGCAATACTCCAAAGACGACTTTACTTTCATCGAAGCCTCTGCTACGGGTCTAGAGCCATCATCGCGACGCCTCCTATTTCGCAGCAACAAGGGACAAGAAGACGAATCATTGACGTATCACGCACTCGTCGTGGCAACTGGAAGCAAGACTTATTTCCAAGCTTTCTCGATGAGCGCCGATGCTCAAAGTACCCTGAACGCAATCAGCTCGGCAAACGAGCAAATCGCATCGGCAAAGAAGATTGTTATCGTTGGCGGAGGTGCGACAGGCGTGGAATTTGCGGGCGAAGTTGCTGAGCATCGCAACGGCAAGCCAGGATGGTTCAGCAAGGTGCAGCCAAAAGTTGACGTTACCCTGATCACATCGGACAAGCAGCTTCTCCCCGGTCTCCGGCCTGCAATCGCCAAAGTTGCAGAGCAGAAACTCAAAGCGCTCGGGGTGGAGATCGTCTACAACACGCGAGTGGTCGATTCAACGCAGACAAAAGATGGTCGCACGGCACTGACCCTCAAGGACGGTGGCAAGCTTGAGGCAGACCTCTACGTTCCCGCTTACGGCGTTCAACCAAACTCGTCGTGGCTGCCAGATCAATTGCTCAATGAGAAGGGCTACCTCGTAACGAACGATTCCACCCTTCGCGTCGACATCGCAGGCCCCCGCGTCTACGGCTTCGGTGACATCGCATCATATTCGCGCAACAACTACTGGGACATTAACCTGGCTCTACCTACCCTAGTCACCAACATCAAGCGCGATCTGCTCTCTTACAATCCCATGCTTCCAGAGGCGAAACCCAAGGGCAAGGACAGAGTGTACACGGCTAACACGACCGAGTCTATGGTTGTCCCCATCGGTAGCGGAGGCGGTGTTGGTGCCGTTTTTGGATGGAAGGTACCTTCATTCTTCGTATGGGTTCTGAAGGGGAGGGATTACATGTTGGGGATGAGTGGGCTGCCGACGCTGAATGGGGACAAGGTCAAGAAGGAGGTCAAGTGGACGAAGGAGGAGGCTGCGATCTGAGTTTGACTGTTTGCATAGCGAATCTTCCTATTTTCATAGCTTGCGATGTTTCCGTGTGTTCTTTGCAGTTGTAGAATCTTGGTAATGTTAATAATACTTGATGTCAAATGTGCTTTCCCAAGACTCTTTCCAAGGTTGTGTGTTGTGAATAGTGACTGCCTGCGCTGCGGAGAAGGATGCAACGCGATTGGTTTCGAGCTCGCTCCACGACGGCGCGCTCCGCGTCGACATCACTCCTTTCCACCCTTGGACCCCACGTACACGGCGCAAATGCGGGGTGAGTAGGACATCAAATGGATTTCGTACGTCTTCGCCCTGCTGCAGCTATGGATCGCGCACTGACGACAGCAAGTGGGTGAGGCTACTCGGCGGGTCGTCCCAGAAGAAGAAGCAGGCCGCCCCGAACAACCCCCAACAGCGGCTGGCACGCTTCCGCCAGCGCTACAATCAGATACTGGTAGGCCTGGCTGAGTCACCCGGAATGCTGCGAGTCTGACACATGGCAGCAAACATGGCAGAAGTCGACCAACCTCGCCCACGACCGCGAAGCCCTGGGCAACATCCGGCGCGGCTTCCAGGCCCTCACAGCCATCCTCAGCGACGAGTCGCGATCCCCCGCGCCGCACATGTGCCTGCAGTTCGCCGCCGCCCAGCAGATATATACGGCCGTCTCCAAGATCGCGGCGACGGCACACGATGAGGGTACCGTTAGGGACGCCGTGGCCTTCTACAATGCCCTCATCGACAGCGAGGAAGAGGACTTCCTCGAGAACGACGTCTTCGCCGCCTCGCTCATGAACTTCATCGACCGCACAGTCGGGTCTGGCAGCATGGGCATAGGAGAGGACATCGAGGCTGACATCGTGGAGCTGCTCTTCGGCATCGCAGCCAAGATCAGGCTACAGCCAGAGATTCTGCATGTCTGGTTCACGACCACATCCGC